TACCACATACATAGAAAAAGCCGAATGTGGAATTGTGGCTCCAGTACTAGGGTGCTAGTTTGGAGCAAAAATTTAGGGACAGTGTCCACGCACTGAGTTCAAGCCCCAAGGCTGGGACATAAAAGAAAAGAAATGCAAGCTGGGTGCTGGTACCTCATGTCTTTAATCCTATCTATTCAAAAGGCTGAAACCTGAGGATTGCAGTCCAAAGTCAGCCTGGGCAGCAATGTCTGTGAGACACTTATCTCCAATAAAAACCAGAAAACCAGAATTGGTGCTTTAGCTCACAATGTAGAACACTTGGCTTGAGCTGAAGGGCTAAGGGATGGTTCCTAGGCTCACAGTTCAAGTAGCATAACCAAAAACAAAACCAAACAAAACAAAAGGATAAAGGAATAAAGAAATCCATCACAAATGTAGGCTTGAACAATGAAAACTATATTTCAGGGATGGGAAGATGGTTCAGTGGTAGAGTGCTTGCCTTGCATGCATGAGGCCCTGGGTTCGATTCTTCAGCACCACATAAGCAGAATAAGCCAGAAGTGGCACTGTGGCTTAAGTGGTAGAGCACTAGCCTTGAGCTGAAGAGCCGAGGAACAGTACCTAGGCCCAGAGTTCAGGCCCCATGACCAACAAAAAGAAAAGAAAAGAAAAGAAAACTACATTTCACAGGTACTGTTGGAAGCACCCCAGTTTTATCTCTTTGTCTCTCAGGAATTTAGTTTTAGAGAGGACTTTTTTTTTTGGTTGTGGGGCTTGAACTCTGGGCCTGAGCACTTATCCCTCAGCTCTTCAGCTCAAGGCGAGCGCTCGACATCTTGAGCCACAGTGCCACTTCCCAGGAATTTAGTTTTAAAGAATGAAATTATTTTTTCTTTATATTGTTAGAGGTGCTTTTAAGTTGAAGTCTATACATTCAAATATGCTCTTTGATTCCCGTTTTCATGAGGAATAGTTCTGGTCCACAATAGAGACATGTTGAACCCATACACTGGAGAACTAAAATCAAAAGTGAAAGTTACCAATCCAATCTTTCCCAATTATTTTTTATGGAAGGGATTACAAAAAATCTCAATAAACATGTAAGAGACAAGGGTAGGTTCTTTGATAAGAGAGAGGGAAACTGTTGTAGACCCTGGGGTGCCTGCCAGGAGCAGACAAAATGTGAGCAAAGGCTTCAGGACAATTGACTCCCACGCTCAGCACTGCAAGTCCTTGCCCTTTATTGGTTTGAGGAAGTGTGTGTTCTAGCTTTTTGGCCTGGGGCTTTACCTGTCTGGAGGCTTGGGTGGAAAAGATGTATTGAAATAGAATGAGGAAAGATGTGTGCTGTTTGCACTTTTGGGCACAGTGGGTCTAGACCAATATTACTCAAGCATTTGAGAAATATAGCTGAACTGTGTCATCAGCCATCACTCTGTCTCCTTAATTATCATCCCATTGGCTCTCAGAGCCTTGCTTGTGCTCTGATGGGATTGCAGCAGGAGACAAAAGATTTATTGCACATTTTAATGGTAAAGGTTTGAGAAGACAAGTCCGAGGTCCCTTAGATATGTAGCCTAAAGCTACTGAGAGGAACTGTTAGGATCAGAGAACAGGTAAGAAGTCTAAAGAGATATTCACATGTAAAATGAAAAGACAAAAGCAGACTGGTTTGCAAGTGATTAAGCTTCACATCAACATAGCCTAGCCTAAACTTCACTCTTCTATCCCTCCTGCATTCATCCCTGACCCCCCAAACCACTATCTCTTTGATTTGAAATGGAGGTGATATGCCATGTTCATAAGAATCCCTGTGAGGAAACTTTTCACTAGATACCTGAAGAAATTATTAAAGGGAATGCAAATAGAGCCCAGCAAATGCTCACAGACAGTGCCCAAGCTCTGAGTTCAAGCCATAGGACCAACAACAAAACAAAACAAAATCCTTAAAAGAAATGCAAAATTCAGAAAAAAACAAAAATTCATTTGATTTAATAGATAGAATTGGGGAGTTTCTGGAAAATTAATTGTTAGATTTTGTGAAATCCAAATCACCAGAAGTATTATGCTGCATACTTACCTAACAATCTCACTATTGTATGCCAGTGTTTTCATTACAGCAATGGGAAATGACACAGGTATAAATTTATGGTTGTGAATATCTTTTTTTTTTTTTTTTTTTTTGGCGGTTGTGGGGCTTGAAGTCTGGGCCTGGGCGCTACTCCCTCAGCTCTTCAGCTCAAGGCCTGCACTCTACCACTGTAGTTACAGCACCACTTCCGGTTTTCTGGTGGTTTATTGGAGATAGGAGTCTCATGGTCTCTCCTGGGCGGGCTGGCTTTGAACAGGGATCCTCAGATCTCAGCCTCCTGAGTAGCTAGGATTACAGGCTTGAGCCACTGGCGCCCGGTAATATCTTTGTAAAGTAGGAGGGGATATATTAAAAAAAATTAAGACAAAACAGAGATAATTTACATTCACCAGAACACAGGCATTGAATAAACAGAAAGGAATAAGCAACGCAGTCTCATAACCTCAATTTCATTATTAGAACTAAGAATCAAAAATCCAATGTATCCAATTCTCCCCATATATATCCATTTTCTGGTTGGTCTTATGTATTTCAAGAGGAAACAGTGGTTTTCAAGAAGAAACTGAGCTTAACTCCCACAGCAGGCAGAGAAAAGTCCCAATGCACAAGAGCACCCTTGTTCCCAGGTTTGCAGCAGGGTGGCACCGAGCATTGTGGGAATTGTAGTCTCCATGGAGGATATTTTCTTTGAAAGTCCTGGGTTGTTTTTGTTTTTTGGAGGGTGGAGGTGGGGCAGAAGATGCTCTTGCGCATGTGTCTCCCCCCCCCTTCCCGCCCACCATGGGCATTTTAAGTCTGCCTCTTCCGGATTCTTTTCCTTTGCCTGGCTGCTGGAAGTGCCCTGAAGGACAGTTTGGCCTTCCACAGGTGGGAGCCAGGAGGCTGGTGCCCAGCTCTGTGCAGTGGAGCCTGGGAGCTGTAACTTGAAGGAATCTCAGGCTTTGGAACTGATGTCAGGTAGGAAATGTGTGATTGCCGCGGGAGTCTCCCCTCCACTGGTTTCTGTTTGTTTTTCTGTTTCTGTTTCTTTGGTGGGGCATGAACTTTGGGCCTGCAAGCAGCATTCCTGAGCTCCTCAGCTCAGAGGGAGAGCTTTATACTTGAGCCAAAGTGCCTACTTCCCTCTCCAGGATTTTCTCCAGTCTGGGGTTGATAATTTGCTTGAGGTTCAGGAGTTTGTGCTGCCATTAGCCTCTAGGCCTTCAGATGCAAGAACCTGGCTTCCAAATGTCTGAGAGCAAGCTGTGTCATTGTCCAGACGAGGAGAGCACAAGAGCTGTGCATTTCTACTCCAAGACCAAGGGATTCTTCTATTAACCCATGTGACTTTATTTGCTTTGCCCAGGTGTAAGAGGAGTACAGGAAGTATTCTAGTGAAATTGTGAGATGTATGCCTGCCTTGAGTCCTCTTACATTGCAGTTGTATTTGGGGCTTCTGTGTTGTTTCTCCTAGAGATAATTTAATCTGTTTGGCTTGAGTTTTTAATCTCCTGGGTGGATCTCACAAGTATTTGTACATGACCCTGTTTCTAGAGACAGTTGTACATGGGATATTGGAGTAGTGAGTGCTTGTCCTATATTTTTAGGAATGAAGCCTAGCAATGTTTGAAGCAGAGCACCCTATGAATAGGAATCTCCATCCTAAATGGACAGACCTTGTCAATTCTGAGAGGCCCTAAAGGGAAGAAGCAGAAAAGCACAGCAAGGGGAAGATGTTGCTAGCTTCCCTTGCCTATTACAAAAATTGTTGCTACTTCCCTTAGCACCAGATTCACGTGGTACTCTTTCCTATACCACTGTCAATCACTTTGTGTTGTTGCAAGATTTAAACTAATTTCCAGGAATTGTGATGCGCTGGACTGAGGAATAAACCAGAGCCAAGTTATGAGAGGGTACCTGAGGCTGTGGTTTGGGATGGTGGGGTAATTGTTATAACAAAGTATCTATTAATGTAGTAATCCCTAATCCTCTTCTTCCTAATTTATTCAGCCTGTTACCACTATGATTGTATGTAATCATGCAAACTTATGTTAAATGTCCCATCTAAGGATTTGCTAATGCTAGCTCTTATTGGTTGTTTTTGCCTGGTAGTACAGAAAGTATTGGTCAGGGAAATTTGGCCTTTAAAGAAAAATCACAGAAGAAAACTTGAGGTAATATGTCTTACTCAAGGTTGTATGCTTTGTAGGTGTTGCTTATCTTCAGGTGTGTCACTCCTATATGGAGTATTTTATGTTATATCTTTAGGATGGTCAAGGTTCTTTCTAAGACTGTTTAGGGAAATGAACATTAGGGACTTCTCAAACCTGGGTTTACCTCATCTTTACTCATGTCCCTTTGGCCAAAGCATGTTAAACGGAAATTGCAAGTCATTGCATAGGTGTGCAATGGGTACAGTGAAATGTGCCATTTGACAACCATTGTTGAATAATTATAACACAATAAATATCTTCTGTAGACATTTTTTCTCTAAATTGTGTGAAAACTACATCATACATGCTTTCCCTGGTGTTAAAATATGTAAATGAATGAGGTAGAACACAAATTCCAATGGATGCCTAGGATACCGTTGTATTAAAAAAAAACAGTTCCTACATACCGAAGTACATTCAGTAATAAATACTTTTAGTGGAAATGTGATATGTTTTTGCTTTCAAGTATTCAATAATATTTGTGGGAACATTCATTTTTTCGAACTTAATGTGTACATAAACATAGAAATTAGTTTGTTTAATAATATCTATCTGTCAGGAAATGGACTGCATTTGTGTTTCTTGGAAACTTTAATGCTCAGCCTGAGATATTAAAGATTCTTCTAGGACAACTTTATGGTTTTGCAGCCCATGTATCATGTTTGCAAGAGAAAATTCTGGACCCCAAATCTCACAGATTTATTTCTGAATATGTCATTTGCTTTATATCCCAGCCGTGCTTCTAGAGTCTTCTGTTCATTGTCAGCAGCAAGACAGAATGAATGGATCTCTGGTGAGTTTTTTTTTATTTCTCATTTGTTTTCCATTCCATTATATGAACCTAAAGATTTCCAAGAATTACAAACAATGCCAACGACACAGATTCAGCCTCAGGAATGTATTCATAAATCAGAAAAAGATGGCTTGTAGATTAGGAGATAAAGATTACTTGTAGGTTTAGCAAATTAAATGGTTATATTCTTTCTAAATTGAATTCAGATTGGCTTCAGAATGTCTAGGTTTCATCTTGTCATAACATGTAGTCATACCTGTTACGTGATGTAGTGCCCCGGAGCAGGTTACATCTCGTGGAAGGTGAAGGGTAGATTGCAACCAGATCTCATTCTCATGAGTAACATTCAACTATGTCAATGAAATTTTCATGGAATTGCTGAAATAGTGTGGTCATACGCACCTTCGTGTGTTCTTAAGGAATGATTAACCTATATGTGCTTAAATTACTCTCCATATATACTTCTTGGACTACTTCATGGTCTTGGTCTTACTTGAAGCTGAGGCTATATGTGTTGCTAAACTTTATGGTCTTTTTTCAAAATCTTGTTTGTTTTCTAAAGTATCCTCACAAGATTTCTTTCCTCTATAATCTCTCTCTACTTTTGGTTTTCTACTCACTTGTGTTGGTTATTTTTCTCTTTCTCTCTCTTTGTATCTATCTTTGAATCATTTTTTCTTACTTTTCTCATTCTCTCTTTCCTCCATATGTCTCTCAGTTTTTTTTTTCTTCAATGATCCATCTGGGAACTAGTTTTTCTTAGTGATCAGCTTTATGTTGCTGACATGGCTCTTAGGATTGACATTTTTCTTACCCACTGTATAGGAAAATTGTTGCCTAGAGTTCTACAGGATTCCAGAAACAAAGAAAATTAGAGAAACACAAAAACATAAACAGATAGACTTAGGGGAAATCAGGGTTCTAAAGGCTCTCTGGCACTTGGTCTCTGGTTGCCAGCAAGCAAGCATAGTTCCTTGAGTTCACACAGGGAAGATTACCATTGATAACATGCAAAATTGAAGTATCTATATTAATATTACAATCTGAGCCACAACAGGTTGTGAGGAAAACATGTTTCCTTATTCTCCTGAGACAGAAGACTGGTGCCCAGAGAAAATGCAGACATGAAGTTCACCTTACCTAGCCTTCAAGGTGAACAGCAGCTCAGTTTCAGATGCTATCTTTCCAACAGTAAGGAAAAGGCCTGCCCTCCAGTCTCTTAACCATCTCCAGAATTCTCTTTTATGCCTTCTGCAGCCAGCTCTTAGTGCTCTCAATGCTGTCAGGCTGGAATTCCAACCTTTCAAACCTTTTCCCCCTTCAGCTCAACTTCAGAGATCCATACAGAAAAGGACGTCCTTCCTCCAATTGATAAACTACAAGAAAATTTGATTTCACCTGATTCTGTTATCTTTGCTCTAACTTCATTTGTCGTGGTACTCAGTTTTCTTTTTCCATACCACTACTTTTAAATATTTTCATTCACTGCCAGTATAAGATAGGTAGTTTTGATAAAAAAAAAAAATACAGTGATGAGATTTTCTCTATTAGAAATATCATTTGTTGCAAAATCTCACAGATGTTTGCTCAGGAATTGATTTTGATCTCAGAAATTTCACTATTAACTAACAAAAGTGGAAATATATCTTTAGGGATCTACTGGAGAAATGACTCAGGAATATTTAACACATTTGACCATTTGGTCATATTTATCATTTTTGTCATCTTGAGTGTTCCTTTAGTCTCTATCAATTTGCCTTCACCTTCCATGAAGTCCTATTAAAATGAAAATCTTCTCAAGGAACATTTTATTCCCCTCCCACCTATATTTTGTATTGTAGAATGTAGAGAAAGTTTACAAAACTTCATGGTAGCAGTTCTTTTTTACATAGGAAGGAAATATCAGGGTATCTAAGACCACATTTCAATATTTAGTATTTAAACCAAACATGGATAACCTAGGATATTTTTATGTGGGAACTAAATCAAATCTTATAAGGGCCCAATAAATCATTAGCTACTTTCTGGAGTACTGTTACTGTTTTATAATATTCACGTGGACACTGCTTTTCTTTGATCTAGTAATGTTCTATGTTCTGTATACCATGTGATATCCTGAATGTGTTCTGCTTGCTTATGAGAGTACTTGTTAATAGAAGGTCTAAATAGGGTTTACAGTGAAGCAGTAAATGTAAATGAAGAGAAAATATTTGTTTAATTCATTGTTACGCTTATATGTACTAAAATTTTATAAAAAATAATAATATAATTTTTTTTAAAATGGGCAAAAGCACGTCATTTATTATAAAGTGACATCAGATAATAACTAAGAAATCATTCTTTTTATTGGAAAGAATAGTGCTAGTTGTCCTAGGCCTTGAGTCCTTCAAAGTTTAGTGAGAGGTCTAACTTAACTGTTAAAATAAATAATGGCATTGAGAAGGAGGGCAAGTTAATAGCTATCTTCACAGTTAAAAAAAAAAAAAACACAGAAGTTTCATTTGTGTTTTCCACAGCAGACTTGTGGTGAAGATGCAGTCTGCCTTTCATGGGAAATGGATTTTATTCCACTCACTCCACCTACTAGTCAACCCAGAGAGGATTATTCCATTGTTTTTGGAGTGCCATTTGGGCTGGCATCGGCGATGGTAGCTAAGTAAATGAGGTTTCTATGTAATACATGCTGGTACTGGACACACTCGTTCGCGCGGCCCTTGTTCTGATACTCCACGATACAACGCACCAACTGGTCATTCTCCTCCAGGAGCCGCTGGACTGTCTCTTGGTTCACCTTGGCCTTCCCTCGCAGCCAGTCCGGCGCGAAGATGACCGACATCGCCGAGAACTCCCCGGCAGAAGCCCGCCCAACCCGCGCTCGGTCCCTGCCAATAATATAATTTTTTAGACACCACCTTAGACTTAATGTCATCATGCCAGATTATTGTCTCCTTAGAATTTTTATCTTGTCTCTATTGCTAGAAGCAGAAATGTGTTTGCATACATTAGGGAATCTGTAATTTTTATTGGTCTTGGGGCTTGAATTCTCAGCCTGGTTATTGTCCCTCAGCTCTTCAGGTCAAGGTGAGTGCTCTACCACTTGAGTCACAGTGCTACTTTCAGTTTTCTGGTGGTTTACTGGAGATAAGTGTCTCATGGACTTTCCTGCCTGGGCTGGCCATGAAACTTGATCCTCAGACCTCAGCCTCCTCAATAGCTAGGATTACAGGCATAAGCCACCAATGCCCTGCAAATCTGTGTATTTTAATGGCCACATTTATGTATTGTCAAATATTTCTAATTTGCCATTTAATTTTCCCTGTGAAAAAATAACATAGCCAGCTGCAAACATTTAATGTAAGACAAAAGCATACCTGCAGCATAATGAAATTCCAGGTTGGAATTCTCATGACCCAGATCTAATTTCTTGATGGAAATGTGCCATTACAGAAGCTGATGTCATTTGATGATGTGGCTGTGGACTTCACCTGGAAGGAGTGGCAGGATCTCGATCCTGGTCAGAGGGCCCTTCATAGAGAAGTGATGCTGGAGACTTATAGCAACCTAATGTCCTTGGGTGAGCAAAGGTCACTTTTATTTGTAAGATCAAGTGTTTTTATTTTAGTAGACATTTGACTATGGTATTTAGGTATAAGATTCCAGTCCATTCCCAGGTGAAAAACTGCTAGTATAAAAGCCAGCCAAATTCAGGTTGGGGAGCTTGATATTGTTTGCCTTTCACACTACTGCTTGAGACACAACTCCATTTTGGATTTTGTTTTGGGATATATTGTTAATTTCCATGCCCAGGATGGTTTCAAGCCTGCCTCTTCTAATCTGACCTCCTAAATGTAGGGTTACAAGTGTAAGCCTTTGGACCATTACATTTTGTTAAAAAAAAAAAAAAGATTCCAGTGCATGAGAAGTGTCATTTCTTTCTAAGGGAAACTTCAACTTCATTATATGTAACTCAAGACCTAATTTTATTCTCATTCGTTAAGAAGGCAAATTAGTAGTTGGACAAAAGTTCTAAACTATGATCCACTAACAGGAAACTGACTTCCCAGACTTGGGGTGATTATTATAGGTGGATCTACAGACTAGATAGAATATACATTACTACTGTCAGTATAATCTGGAAGTCAGTAGTTGAAAGTGTGAAAGTGTGTATTTGTAAGCCAAAGCTGACATAGGTTTCATTGCTTCAAGCTTGGAATCCTAGATACTCTATAGGCTGAAATCTGAAGATTTTGGTTTGAAGCCAGCAACTGTAGAAAAGTGAACATGAGACTCTTATCTCCAATTAACCATTCAAAAACTAGAAATGTAGCCAAGACACAAACTAGTAGAATGCTAGATTTGAGCAAAAGTGCTGAGTTCAAGCCACACATGGGCAAAATAAACCCAAAGCTGGGGGAAAGTACACCATGGAGCTGTTAAGAATTGAGAAACCATGGGCTGGGAAGGTGGCTCAGTGGTAGAGCCCGTGCCTTGCATGCTTGTGGCCCTGTGTTGGATTCCTCAACACCAAAAAAGCAGAAAAAAAGACAGAATTTGGCGTTGTGGCTCAAGTGGTAGAGTGCTAGCCTTGAGCTTAGGAGGTGTGATACAGCTCCCAGGCTCAGAGTTCAGGCCCCACAACTGATCACACTCCCCAAAAATAAAACAATTGAGAAACCAGATTTAGGAGCAACCCAGTGAACAGGATGTCTGCAACATTACATTAATGATGACCCTGCAAGAGCAATAGTTCTCCACTATTTCTTATTCACAGGGCACTGTGTTCCTAAACCTATATTGATTGTGAAGCTGGAGCAAGGTGCAGAACCATGGACAAGAGAAGGCTCAGAAGAGAATTTCACAGGTGAGTTAAAGCATCTTGAATAGTGATGTTGGGTCCAGAGCCCAGTGGGTCTGTTTATTTGAGCTGTAAAAGCAATAGGATTCCTAGTGCCCTGAGTCATGTATGGAAAAGAAATAGGTGATCTTTTGTCTCAAGGAATTGTCAATCCAGAATTCTCGTGGAGACAAACTGAATTTGATGTTCCACGTAGTTAATGTTAGCAATTCTCTTTATCTGTAGAGAAGTTATTCATAAAGTGAAGAAGACAATAAGAAATGTAGTAAGGAGATCTCATTTTATTTTAAACTAGTATTTTGCAGGTAGGAGGAAAATAGGATCAGGACAATTTCTTATCAGTGGTGCTGTCATAGAGGGAGATTCAGAATGGAAGCATTAAGAGTATGGAGATGAATAATTTGAGTAAATATTTCCTTGAGAAAAATATAAAAATCTGAAATACAGAAAAACATTATTTTCCATTGTAAAATGTCAGTACTACTTTCTTAATTACTACATTGCAGAGAAAAGTATATATTCTGTATAAAGCAATGCTTTGATATTTGAAAATCTAGTAACAGAATTTGAGAAAATATCATTATAGTAAGGAATTTGTGGGTCTTATTTATGTTTTTGTCTATTTTTCTATTATTCATTTTAGATGCCCCAGAAATGGAGGATGTGATTAGCACCTGCCAGGAAAGTCACAAGAAGTATCTCTCTGAAGTAGCAATCCTGAATAGTAAGCAAGGGGAGGAAAAAGTGAGACTTATAAGAAGTTTTCATTTGAGCTCCATACAGAAGTCAGAACTGATTAAGAATAATGGGAACTCCTTAGGGATAAGGATAGAAAAGGTCACTGGCTGTCAGAGCATGGGTATTTTCAGTGAACCCGCTAAGATGTGTGCTGCATATAGTACTCATGTGTCTTCTGTAGTTGACAAATGTAAACAGTGTGAAAAGTCTTTCACTGAGAAGAAACACCCTGTTGTCCCTCAGAGAACACACACAGGAGAGAAACTTTATGAATGTAACATGTGTCAAAAGTCTTTCACCCATAAATCAAAGCTTACTCTCCATCAGAGAACACATACTAGAGAGAAATCTTATGAATGTAACCTTTGTGGAAAGTCTTTCATCCATAAATCAAAGCTTACTGTTCACCAGAGAACACACACAAAAGAGAAACCTTTTGAATGTAACATTTGTGGAAAATCTTTCTCCTGGAAGGCATATGTTACTAGACACCAGAGAACACACACAGGAGAGAAACCTTATGAATGTAACAACTGTGGAAAGTCTTTCCCCTGGAAGACACACCTTACTCGCCACCAGAGAACACACACAAAAAAAAACCTTTTGAATGTAACATTTGTGGAAAGTCTTTCTCCTGGACGCCATATCTTACTCTCCACCAGAGAACACACACAGGAGAGAAACCTTATGAATGTAACAACTGTGGAAATCTTTCACCAAGAAATCAAACTTAACTCGTCACCAGAGAACACATACTAGAGAGACATCTTATGAATGTAACGTGTTTTGAAAGTCTTTCACCGAGAAATCAAAGCTTACTTGCCACCAGAGAAGACACACAAAAGAGAAACCTTTTGAATGTAACATTTGTGAAAAGTCTTTCTCCTGCAAGGCATATCTTACTCTGCACCAGAGAACACACATAGGAGAGAAACCTTATGAATGTAAGATGTGTGGAAAATCTTTCATCAAGAAATCAAATCTTAATGTCCACCAGAGAACACACACTAGAGAGAAACCTTATGAATGTAACTTGTGTAGAAAGTCTTTCACCCATAAGAGAAACCTTACTGTGAACCAGAAAACACACACATTAGAGAGACCTTATGAATGTAACATGTGTGGAAACTCCTTCTCTTGGAAGTCAAGCGTCAATGTCCATCAGATAATACACACAGGAAAGAAACCTTATGAATGTCATATTTGGGAAAGATTTTCAGCCAAAAGCTACAACTTTCTATCCACCAGAGAGCACACACAGGAGAGAAATTTTATGATTGTAACCTATGTCGAAAGTCTTTCATCCAGAACATACACCTTTCTGTCCATCAGAAAAAAAACCCACCTGAGAGAAATGTTATGTATGTAGCAGGCATGGAAATTCTTTCACCTGGAAGGCACACCTTAACATCCATCAAAGAACACACGGAGAGAAACCTTATGAATGCAACCAGTGTGGAAAGACCTGGAGGTCACAGCTTAACACACATAAGTTGCTTCACATAAATGAAATAACTTAGGATTGTACCAAATGGGGAAAGTCTTTGATCTGTAAGAAAATTAAAATTGCAATACAGAACCAATACAGGATAGAGACCTTGTGATACAGCAGATGTGGAGTCCTCGAACTACAAGACACAGCTCAGGGTTCATCATAGAACACATAAAACACACAGACACACACACACCCTCACACACAAAGAGGAGAAAAATCGTATGTAGAAAAAATGGAAAGGTTTTCTAGAAAAAGTCATAACAGTAGTAAAGTCTATCTTGGAGGGGTAACAATGCTCAATAGAAAATGTATTCATGACCTAACTCATATAATGGTATAACCAATCTATACTGTATCTTTACAATAAAATATATATTTAAAAAATATGATGGATTAATAAAGACTAGAATCTCTGCATTTTGTCTTGGGGGAGAACCCCAAAGTGTCTTCAGTGCTTGCACTTTTCTTTAATTAATCACTGGTGATGAAAAACTTGTGATTGATTCACTCTTAGCACATTTAGTTGTTCTGCTGAGTGAGCTATAATAAAACACCAGTTTTCTATAATAAAACACCCATGTTATCTCATAGAGGGCCAAAGTAGATATGACATTAGGAGAAATAATCAAGCACACAAAGATATTGATCAATCTCTCACAAAAATTGAAGTTAACAAAGAAATAAAACCATCTGCCACTTGAGCTACAGCATCTCTTCTAGACCCTGAGAGGAAGGAAGGAAGGAGTAGGGAAGTGAGAGAAGGAAAGAGGAAGGGAAGGAATGAGGAAGAAGGAAGAAATAAACTATTCAAAAGAAGAATGTTTAATTATTGGTGAATGTGAGAATTATTGTTTCAGAGGTGGAGCTCAAGAAATATGGCTTTTACAAAAAGAAAATTTTTGAATGTTTACAAAATGATAAAGAGGATGTAACATTTTATAAATTGATTTACTAATTCAGTAATATTAAGTAAGGAGGTCAGGTGTGGCTGGTGCACTATTGGCCACATGGTAGATGGTGGGGTCTGGCATCTTGTTTTCATGCAGGGGAAGGAAATGACCCATCCATCACTTGCCTCCCAACTGATGGGTGTGGCTGGATCCCTGCAAGCAGGCATGGGCATTTGGCTGATATGTTACTCAAACTGATAGTCCAGTGCCTGGGACTGGGAATTTCCTGTAGACCTGCCTCCTGCTTAGGCCCTATTTAGGCTGGCCCAGCAGTGGCACCAGATGCCATGCCACATGTCTCTTTAATCATGTCCTGTGTGCCGTCTCCTGACTTGTCTCTGGTCATCTTAGTGTCCCTATTCAGCACTCTCTTGGTGCTGATTGGTTTCTTGGTATTGTTTTTATTCCCCCCCCCCCTTTCTGTCCGGTTTCCAAGCTGTCTAAGTGTATTTGTGGACTGCATGTCTTTGTTACAACAGGCTGCTTGTAGACTGCTAGCTGTGTAATAGACTCCAGTATTCCATCTAAAATAATGTGGCTTCCAACAAATATACTGTTTTCTTTTACAGAAACACAAAGTTTGATCTAACATTAGAATTTCTAGAGCCAAGATAGATGCCATTGTATAGTTATGTAATTAAAGATATCCTGGAAACATTTAGAAAAAAATGTTTGTTACATCAGAAAGTGCTCAATTAATAAACCAAGTCCAAGACTCCAGTTCCTATATAAGCCAATCATTCTAGATATGTCCAGAGCTGTTTGGTTACATGAAGAGCTCTACTTTCACACTTTCATGAAGGAATGTTTTTGTGCCAATATGAGGTGTTGAATTCAGGAACTGAGTTGAAGCCATCCAGAGCTGGCTTCAAAGGAGATTCTCTCATCTTGGCCTCCATAAAAGCTTTTTCTTTTTGCTTATGTGGTGCTGGGGAATTGAACCCAGGACCTCATGCATGCATGGCAAGTGCTCTAACACAGAGCCACCTTCCCAGGCATACCCTTCTGCTTATTTACAGAGGCCTAGTTAAAAAAAAAATGAGATTGGGAGGCACCTGTGCCCTTGGCCTTCCTATTTGTACCACACACACACACACACACACACACACACACACACACACACACACACACACACTCTATCCATTTGGAAATCGCTCATTCTCCCATGTTTACAAACTGTATGCTTTCTGAGAAGGGATGGTTCACAGACTGGAGTCCTACCTAGGCCTGTTATATACCTCAAATTATGAACCAACATACCACATTCATTAAAAGTATGCCTGATGATAACATATTTTATTAATGTTTTGTATTATTTTTGTTATTATCATTTGGCCAACACTTTGCTTGAATTCACAATTAAAGGGACTTAATGCTCACTGAATTGGTAAAGTACCCTTTCCTCTTTTAATTTCAGACCAGCAATTAAAAATGAGCAATTACACTCCCTCATGTGTGGAATCCTAACTACTCTGGAAGCTGAAATTAGATAGTTTTGTAGGCCATCCCATGCAAAAGCTCCATGAAAATGGTATCTTAGCCAATAAAAGCATGGCTCTGGGCATATGTGCCTATCTTTTTTGCTACTTGTGATATGTAATTATAAAATTAGTGTGTTGAAAGGCCCAGGCAGAGATGCAAGACCCTAATGCGAAAAGTCAGTGATACAAAAGGGCACCTGGCATAGAAGGTAAAGGAAGCCTCACAAATTTTTGCCCCTGAATTCAACCTGAGGACCAATAATAAGATACGTGTAACCAATACATTCTTCCAAATATTTAGTGGAAGAATTTGGGTGTGGTTTACCCAATGATAGGTAAACA